CCGGGGCTCGGCCCTGCTGGACTCGGCCATGGTGCTCGCGTGCAGTGTTTCCTTCGCGGCGCCCGAGGTCCTGGCGTCGATGGACGCCGGCGGGCCGGGCGCCGCGCCGATCGACCACCTGGCGGCCGACGTCTACTCGCTGGCGTCGGTCTTCTGGCACATTTTGACCCATACCCGGCCCTGGAGCGGTACGTCTTGCTGCTGCTGCTGCTGCTGCTGCTGCTGTTGCTGCTGTTGCGGAATGGTGTTGGAGCATTTTTCTTCCGGGGGTTTTCCGCACACAGACACACACAGACAAACGCCTTCGGCCGCGATCTGACACCCCCCCCTTCCCCTCGGCCTAGGCCTCAGCAAGACAGCCATCCGGTCCCTCCTCAGCCAGGGCAAGACCCCGGCCGTGCATGGCCCCCCGGCTCGAGAAGACATGCTTCTGGACCAGACATTGCAGGCCCTCAACGGCGACCTGCTGCCGGCCATGTGGGCTGCGGACCCGGGCACACGCCCTCCGATGTCAACCATCGCGGCATTGGCGGCCTCCCCGTGAAGCTGGCTGGCGTGTCGGCCCGCACACGCGCGTTTTCACCAATAAAAGCAAGCTCCCCTTTCCCCTCGGGCAGGCCGGCTGACCCGACCCTCTAGATGTGGCCCCCTCTGTACGCCAAACCCATCCGCAATCCCCCTCGGCAGAGTTGCCCCGATCCTCGGGGAAGGTCGTCATCCAGAGACCTGCGTCCGGACAGGGACACCAAGGCAACGGGGCCCGGCTGTGTGGCAGAGCTCCGGCCCGCCGGGGTCGACCCGTCACCATGCGCGAGCCGGCAGACAAAGCCCCCCAAGGCCCCCCTCGCCCCAGAGGCCTCCAAAGGGCCCCCATGAGCATGGGTCAATATGCCGGCCATCATGGCCCGGCCGGGGGCGCGTGCCCAGCAGCCGTTCCTCGCCTGGGTGAGACTTTTTAGCCGGCGGGGAGGACCGGCTATGGGCGGTCCTGAGGGCGCCGGCCGCCAACATTTCGGCCGACCACAGTGGGGCCCGTGATATTCGGTAACCCGGCACGTGTTCTTTCGAAAAAGCACCAGGCCCACACTGCCCGAAGCACGGGATCCCTCGCCGCGCATCGGGGGCCCGACCGTCGTCTGTGCATGGCTTTGCATGGAACATGGGCCCCGCGTGCGCGTTCCAGGCGCCCCGAGCGCGGTCCCCGACACGCATTATTACGCATCGCCTGTAGCCCATGCGACCTCGCCCGGCGGGCGGCGGGGGGGGGGGGGGGGGGGGGCAACCGGCATAACGCGGCGTTTTTTTTTTTTTTTTTTTCAGGGCTCGACCGAGGGGTGTCCCCCGCACCACCCCCAGCCGGGCTATTTGTCCTGCCGGCACGAGAGACAGGCCGCGGCCGGGCCCGAGTTATTGTAGTCGCCCTTGTCGTGCCTGTCCCCCCCCTCCCCCTCTCGTCCGCCCGCCCGCCCGCCCGCCCATCGTTTTTCGCCCTGGCCATGGTCTACCCGGCAAGGTGTTTGCTCACCTGGCGCTGGGGTGTGGTCCTGCTCTCGCTGCTCAGCCTGGCTGCCTTGCTTCGGCCTAGGGAAGCACTCGCAAGCAGCGCGACCCATGTGGTAGTTGCTGGCGACGCCCCATTCGAGCGGCCGGCCGAGGTTGCGGACCTATCTGCCCTTGACACCCTGGTGTCTGGCTGCGACCCCAACTGCACAGATTGCGTGTCCGGTGTCTGCAGTGCCTGTCGCAGTGGCTACTACCTGCACTTCTTCGGCCCCGGATTCCCCTGTGTCACACAATGCCCCCCTACTCACCCGGTCATCTTACATACCTCCAAAGCCACGATATGCTGGCATACCGGGCAGATTCCCGGGTGCAGTGTCATGCGTCTTGATGACAATCAGATTTACACATGTGAGCAGTGCCTGCCCGGCTGGACGGCTTCCGGGGGCGCTTGCATCAACTGCCCCAGCACTTGCGACGCCTGCACCAGCACCACCGCATGCACCTCCTGCCAGAGCGACTACTTTCTCACCGGGTCATCCTGTGTGAGCACCTGCCCCGCCGGCACCTTCCCAGATAGTGGGAGCAGGAAATGCGCCCTCTGCCCGCCTGGCTGCTCCGTCTGCAGCGATGCGTCTACCTGCTCGGCCTGCGAGCCGGGCTTCTTCCTCAGCGGCAGCTCCTGTGGGCCCACCTGCCCGAC